TTGAGCACTTGATCCCGTGGTGGCACTATTGGGGAAGTTCTAGGAACTTTAGGTGTGGTCTAGCTAGAGAATAAGGTCATGGGGAGGGGGCATGTCCTTGGCAGCTGTTACTTGCCAAAAGCCCCTGTCTCTGCTTCCTGTCTCCATGAGGTGAAGAAGCTCCTCTGTCATGCACTCCTGCTACCATGATGTTCTGCCCAGGCACATACCAAGCAACCAGACTGAAGCTAAAATAATCTTTATTGTTATGTCAAGGTATTTTGTCATACTGATAAGAGAAGCTAATACAGTCCTATAAAGAGAGATTAGGACACAGACAAAAGGAAAGATGATGTGGACAGCGTCTATATAAAAGTCCAATGAGGTCTCAGAAGAAAACCAACCACCTATCATACTTTGATAGCAGATTCTGTTCTTCAAAAACTATGAGGGAATACATTTCTGCTGTTTAAGCCAGTCTTTAGTACTTTAGTTATGACAGCCTTAGAAAAACTAATACAAAATCCCAACAATCCACTCACTGAATGAATAGTTGAGTCTATATAGGAGCTAATAGTGTCTGACTCTGGGGAAACAGTGGTAAACATAGATCCCTATCCTTTGGCTTTTATAGTCTGACAGAGACTGCAGCAGGACAGATAATAATGGGGAAGGTAAAAATATATGCATGTTGTAGTGGTTAAAACTGTTAAGAAAGATAAAATGGGAAGAGACAGAAGAAGTTGGGAGTAGCAGACAGGCTAAGGTTCAAATTTAGATAGAATATGCTCACTAAGATGATGAAATTTGAGTAAAATCTGACGGAAGTTAGAGTGAAATGGATATCCAGGAGAATATTCCAAGTGGAGAAAGCAGGGAATGTGTGTGTTTATTCAAAGCACAGGGAAGAGGCCTGTGTGGCTACAAGAGAGAATAGCAGGAAATGAGGTCAGGGAGAGAGGACAGGGACCAGACGACGTTTATTAAGAAGACCCTGACTTTACTGTGAATGAAATGACTGTTATGTGCAGAGTTAACTGAGACAAAGAAAGGAGTAGAAGCAGGGAGTCCATGACAGTCATTCAGGTGAAACATGGTGGCTTAGACTAGGTTGGTAGCAGTGAAATGTTAAGACATGGTGACTGTGGATGTGGTTTCATGGTAGATATGACAGATTTGGAGTACTGGCATGTTGAGGTGTGACATCATCACTTGCCACCAATGACAAGTATCCCTTTTTTGCTTTCCCTTAGGAATTTATTTGTATATGCATCAAATATATGAGCAATCCTATCTCAGTATCCCACTTTCCTGGGTCTATTCCTGGTACAAATTACTGTATTATTCAGAGTTGCAGCAGGAAACAGATGGCACACTCACACTCCTAAGGTTATGTTTACTCCTTTTAAATGAGGCTAATTGTTCTGCTATTGCTACTTTTAAGTAGTATCCCAAGATTCCATTCTAATATTTCAATCCTAATAGGAAAATACAGGATATAAGCACAAAACACTATGCATTAATTATGGAAGCATATACAAACAGAAGGAGCATAAAACTACAAATATGAAAGAAGTTATTAGTGGAGAGAGAGGATGAAAGGTGGGAGTCGGGGAAGTCTTTGGCTGCATCTCCTTTATTCCTGAAATACAGAAAAAATAATCTGAAGCAATTATGTAAAAATGGCAGTATGTGTTGGTTACAGATGTGGCATTTTTATGCAACCAGCAAAAGCTACAAATAAAAGTGACCCAGATCCCACCATGCCTTCTCCACTATTGCTGGTTGTTAAACACCGACCAGCACACCACTAAATTGAGTATGGTGGATCAAACTTTGGATCTAGGCTGTCTGGGTTCAAGTAACAACTTCAGCCACTCAATGGATGTACAATGTTTATTTAATAAGTTGCTCAGTACTTTATTTTCCTCATGAGTAAAATGGGATAAGAGAACTTACTTCATTAGGTTATGAGGATTAAATAGTTTGGTAAGTGTGAAGCACCTAGGCTGGAAGATAACTACTCCAATATAAATACAATGAACAAGACATTAAAGCAGTCACCTGACATTAACTGATAAAACTGGAGATGCACTCAAAGACCTTTGCTAATCTCTTATTTATTTGCTTATACTATGATAAACTCCATCATTAGCTATTTTCATGTTCTCTTTAATACTAACAGCTAAGGCTGTTTTCAAGAACATTTTTGATTAATGATGTATGTGCATACATGTGTAAGTCTATTTGCTTACCAAGTTTAGGTGACAATCTTTCAACTAGTGCAGGGATGCTGAGTTAGCCAAACCTAACTCTTAATAGGTTTCAGATACTAGTAAGAATTCTGGTAAAATTTTAACAGAAAACCCAAATCTATTTGATTTCTGAGACTGAATAGCAAGGAACATATATATAGATCTATTAAAAAAAATCAATCCATGAAAATTCTATGTAGGAAACGATAGAGACCAAAAAAACCCACACATTGGGCAGTATGGTACAATGCAAAGAGTTAAGTTTAGGGTCTAACAGACATGGGTAATAAGCACCACTGTGATCCAGGCCAGCACAGAACTCAGTATTTGGCAATAACTTGGGAACAGTGGAAGTAAATATAGTGAACACAGTGAGCTTGGAGTAGAAGGGAATGGGAGTTAATTGGTTTAACAAAGAGATAGACCCTTATAGCACTTTGTAGAAGGGGCTTGCCCTTTCTTCTTATAAAGTCTCAAGAAAAAAAAGAAAACTTAAGTGCTCATGCCTTCTTCATTCTTAGGAAGATACCTAAGGATAAGCATCACACAAAGGAGTACATCTGAAAAAAACAAGAGACATAAGAAATAAGGAAACAAGGAATTCAACACAGGAGAGGCAGACAATCTCCTGGATGAAGATGAAGGAGATTCCAAGATGACAGTCACAGAAGGTAAAAACTGTCCTGCCTAGTCAAAGCTGATTGTTCAAGAGCAATTCTTCAAGACAAGTTAAACTGACAGAATCATTGTTAGGTTTTAACACATGCAAGAAATATTCATGCATCTGGTCGAGAGATATATTCAGTCAATTAACTCAAGGAGACAGAAATGTAGGATAAGAACATTACATAATTCAGTTGTGAACAGAGGTTACACAATCTTAAGAATGTAAACAATGAATTACAATAACTGTTGAGGGAAGGAAAGGGAGGTTGGAGGAAACTGCAATGTTGGGAAGAAGAAGGAAGCATTACATTACGAATGAAAGAAACAATGCCTAAAATTGAAAAATCCAGTGAAAGCTAAATAAGCATGTTAGAAAAAACAAAACAAAGTGAAACAAAAAAACCAGAAGAGTAGAGTTCAAAGTAGCAGAGCATGGTGGTGTATATCTGTAATTCCGGTACTCAGGAGGCAAAGGCTGAAGGATCAAGAGTTGAGAGGCTAGCCTGTGGTTACATAACAAGTTCCACCCAGTTTGGAATACAAAGTGAGAACTTGTTACAAACAATCAAAAAAAAAATCACAAGAAAACAAACAAAAAAATAGTTGAAAATTCTTGCCCTATGGATAGGAAAAGAAGGAAAGGAATCAAAGTGGTGGTATTTTTCTTTGGAAGAAAACAAAATCTTACAGATCCAGCTGACTTTTTAACTATGTGCATGTGTAACCTGGTTAGCAGAAACCTAACACACACAAAACCTAGCATACTGAAAGGTTCAAAAACTTGCACAATAGTTATTAATCATTTTATTATTATAATGACAAGACAAATGGTTTTTCATGTCACCATTACACTCATGCTAGGATAATCCTCTATTATAAATGCTACTTGGTCTTTTCAAAACATGTTCTTTACTATGCTTGGAATAACTAAGCATGCGTAATAAAATTTAAAAAATTATAAAACACTCTAATTTTTTACTAACTACCTAATTTGATATAATTTACACACAATTTAGAAATGACATTATTTTACTCTCAATTTTTAACAGTAAGACTAACTCCCCAAGACATGCACTATACCATATAATAGATTCTGTCATCAATATGATGGTCTTGACTTCTTAATATATTATTGTTCACATTTAAATTAAGTCCTATTGTCTAAAATAAAAACAGATGAACAAGAGGTTCACTAAAAAGGAATACAAATAGCTAGTAACAACACTGACATATCAACCTCATTTGTAATGAAAGAAATGCAAATTTTAAAAATGACACTACCTATAGTTGACCAGGGAGTACACAGGAGCGAGCAGTGACACATATACCACTAAACAGAAGTACAAATTGTACAGCCATTCTGAAGAGTAAGATAGTAACACTTACCATATGCTCTAAAAACACGTAAGCCCTTTGAATCAGTCATTCTACTTCTAAAAACTTTAAGGACATAACTAAGCATGTGCCATGGGCCTCAAAATGTACAAGTGCTTTCAGCGCACCACTGCTTAGAGTAATAAAATGTAGGCAATCAAAATGTCTAACAGAGGGAAAAAAATGCATTTCAGCTCCTATTTCTTATACCAGGCCGTGGTATAAGAGAGCCATTTTCCCAAACATGTCTTAGCCTTTTCCCAACAGAGCTACGTCTAATAATGGTGAAAAATGCCAGATATTGCCTTCTGCGACCAGATCTGAGTTGGTGGAAACTGAGGGGAAGCTGTTGATAAATTGAGGCCAAGACAAAAAACCCATGTCCTTAATGACACCTTAGAACCTGTGTTTTGTCAGACAATAAAGGTCCTTAGTTACTTAAGCTACCTCTGCTCAAAGCATAATAAGTGGTGTTAGTCACATATGAAAGTACTTTAGAACCACTAAAAGTTTATATAACAGAGGTAAAGTTATGAATAGGGGAAGTACAGTTAAAACAATTATAAAACAGCATGTTCCCATTTAAAAAAAAAAAACAAAACTACAGCACAGTTTCATTTGCCAAGAAAAAGGTCTGGAACCATACTGAAAGTTTCAAAGCAGTTATCTCTGAATGGTAAAATTTAAATGCTTCCTTTTCTCATGTGTGCATTTTCTGTTTTTCTCTACAATGTGTATGTATCACTTGAAGATTTTGCTACCTTTTCTACTGCTATCAATTCAATGCAATTTTGGACAGGAGGAGCAAGCATATTCTAGTGGGCTATCTTGAACTTGGAGGTCTTCTTTAACAGCAAAAGTTCTCAGGTTTTTTAAAAAACTTTTTCATGAAATAAAATTTGATATTATCAGGCATTTAATTTTTAGTGAATATGGAAGATTACAAACAATTTTCACTTCCTTTTTTCACTCAGAGAATCATCTCATGACTTTGTACCATTTCGAATTTGAATTTCTTCTGTGAAGCAAAAACAGTCCCAAAATGAAGGATCTTCAGGTGTCATGGGAACAGCAGAAGATATTAAATCATTAAAGGAAAGAATAGTAAACTGCCTCTGTGTTGGCTTACAGTCATCTTGAGATGGGACCTAAAAGAAAAAAGTAGATGACATCATTATTATATTGCAGATGGGTATTATGGTCAGTTTTATAATTATGAAATAATAAAGATCAAATTACATTTCAATAGCATTAAATCATAATACAGTAAAACTTCTAGAATATTGATTTCACTCTTTATATTTCTGTTGCAATATCACAGATAAAAATAAGAATCAGAAGACATAGTTCTTGAACTTTTTATACAGAATAACCTGTGAAATGTGTTGTCTAGTTCAGTAGACCTAAGTTAAAAGGGATTCCCAAATCTGCAATTTTAGTAAGCAAAACTTTTGAGAAACATTACTTTAGCATATGGATCTGATAAAACTGCTTTAGGAAACTGTCTGTTAACATGAAATTCTGTGTTCTACTCTGAAACAGAACCTTGAAGAACCCAACCCAGTGAAGATCTTTAATATTCTACACATTGTAGTCTAGGCTGAACATCCTTCATCAGAAAATCTAAAGTGTCCCACAAATCTAAACTTTCTGAGTACCAACATGATGCAACAAATGGAAAATTCTACATGTGACCTCACGTGACAGGTCACAGTCAAAACACAGGCACACTAAAAGTTCTGTATAAAGCTGGGCACTGGTGGCTCATGCCTGTAATCCCAGCTACTTGGGAGGCTGCTGGGAGGACTATGGTTCTAGGCCAGCCTGGGTAAATACTTCAAGAGACCCCATCCAACAATAACTAGGTGTGGTGGCATATGCTGTCCTATCAGTAATGGTGGGAAGCATAAGATAGGATGATTGTGGTCTGGGCTGACCTGGGCAAAAAGCAAGCCCTTATCTCCAAAATAACCAGAGCAAAGAGGGATGGAGGGTTGGGCAAGTATAGAGCACTTGCCTAGTAGGCATAAAGCCCCAAGTTTAAAACCCAATACCATTAAAAAGTAAGAAAAAGTGCTGTACTGTATAAAATTACCTTCAGATGATGTGCAGAGGTACATGTGAAACATAAACTTTTGTTTGGATCCTACCCCAAAATATATTCCAAAATCTGAAAATCCAAAACACTTCTGGTCCCAAACATTTCAGAAAATGGCTACTCAACCTGTATAAATAGTACTTGGGATTTATACAGTACTGTAACAAAAAGTTCAGTATTTATTTTATTTGATGCATGTCTCAGCTATGCTATGATTGTTACCTCAACTTTATAGGTGGAGAAATTGAGGATCAGAAAGATCAGACTATTCGGCTGAGGCAACTACACAAGTTGAATGGTAGACTTAGACCTGGAATCTACCTTCCCACTGTGCCACTGCTGCCTAAACAGGCACTATCCAGAGAGATAAAACGAACAGGAAGTACTGAATGTACATATGTTTCAAAAACTATAAATCTGTACCATAATATGATATTTGTAGGGAGTGCAAAGTAAGGTTTGAGAATATTAGGATGGATAGCCTGGGTGACGACATCTTCCAATTACAGGTATCCATCCATTTTAACATGTCATTGTTTTTGAAGGATTATTCATGAATCATTTAATTCATCCATCAAAGGCACTGTCTTTGGTCTGAGCTATTTTTCTAGGAGTAATGATATATACATAGTGAGATCATGACACATTCCTTTCACATGGATTCCCTAACAATATGGCATGCACTTTCGATTTTGACATAGTCAGTATTCCTTAAACACACGACTTCTACACAATCACAACTATATGTAGGCTGAGAGTCTTAGACCCTAAGATTTTTCCCCTCACTTGCTAGGTAATAGCGTAAGAAATATAAGCAGATTATAAACTGAAAAACACTGAACTGAGACTAAGTGATGCCACAATATAAAAGATCTCTCAAATGTCTGACATAGTAACTTTGGGAATAATACAGGAATTTCCTTAAAAGGGCAGGAAGTTCAATTTGGAAAGTTAATTCTATTACCAACATTCAATACAGCCACAGTTCACCAGGAAAAAAATTCCATTCAATACAGCCACAGTTCACCAGGAAAAAAATTCCATTCAATACAGCCACAGTTCACCAGGAAAAAAATTCCATTCAATACAGCCACAGTTCACCAGGAAAAAATTCCATTCAATACAGCCACAGTTCACCAGGAAAAAAATTCCATTCAATACAGCCACAGTTCACCAGGAAAAAAATTCCATTCAATACAGCCACAGTTCACCAGGAAATAAATAAATTCCATTCAATACAGCCACAGTTCACCAGGAAATAAATAAATTCCATTCAATACAGCCACAGTTCACCAGGAAATAAAAAAATTCCATTCAATACAGCCACAGTTCACCAGGAAATAAAAAAAAAAATTCCATTCAATACAGCCACAGTTCACCAGGAAATAAATTCCATTCAATACAGCCACAGTTCACCAGGAAAAAAATTCCATTCAATACAGCCACAGTTCACCAGGAAATAAAAAAATTCCATTCAATACAGCCACAGTTCACCAGGAAATAAAAAAAAAATCCATTCAATACAGCCACAGTTCACCAGGAAAAAAATTCCATTCAATACAGCCACAGTTCACCAGGAAAAAAATTCCATTCAATACAGCCACAGTTCACCAGGAAATAAAAAAATTCCATTCAATACAGCCACAGTTCACCAGGAAATAAAAAAATTCCATTCAATACAGCCACAGTTCACCAGGAAATAAAAAAATTCCATTCAATACAGCCACAGTTCACCAGGAAATAAAAAAATTCCATTCAATACAGCCACAGTTCACCAGGAAATAAAAAAATTCCATTCAATACAGCCACAGATCACCAGGAAATAAATTCCATTCAATACAGCCACAGTTCACCAGGAAATAAATTCCATTCAATACAGCCACAGTTCACCAGGAAATAAAAAAAAAAATTCCATTCAATACAGCCACAGTTCACCAGGAAAAAAATTCCATTCAATACAGCCACAGTTCACCAGGAAAAAAATTCCATTCAATACAGCCACAGTTCACCAGGAAATAAATAAATTCCATTCAATACAGCCACAGTTCACCAGGAAATAAATTCCATTCAATACAGCCACAGTTCACCAGGAAATAAATTCCATTCAATACAGCCACAGTTCACCAGGAAATAAATTCCATTCAATACAGCCACAGTTCACCAGGAAATAAATTCCTGCCAAGATGACTGAGACACTGAATACAGAGAAATCCTATTGGAAATATGGCAGTACCACCAAAATTTTTCTTTGCAATACTTAAGTGTATTTGAATGTAAAGCAGGTTTTGTGAAATCGCAGGTAATCTTAAAGATTTGATCATGAAAAAACAATTCTTAATCTGTTATAAAAAAGAAAAATAAAAACAACACGTCTAACCTGATATAAGGCAAATGACTGTTTTCATCAATAAAGGACAAAGTATCTCTGATGCATACTTTTTAGAAAAAAGACAAATCGTAAAATCTTACATCCTCATGTCTAGATCCATCGGGTTTCCTAAGAGCTACTGCAACAAAATGATGATCATCTATTTTGCTTTCCTGAAAAATAAAAGTACAGATTACCAAGTTTATAAATAAATCCAGATATAGTTCTTTTACATTTTCTAAGTCTCATTCTCTCTACATATGCATGATACATATCCACACGCACACACACAGACACATGCATATTCCTCTAGGAGCCAAGCAGCAGACAATCAGGATCAAGGATTGCATTCAGTTATTATGTTATTAATCTCTGTCTACGTGACATTACCATTTTAAAATAAAAACCCATCTCCTTACCTCCTTTTATTAATAGTGTTACTCATGTTTAGTTTGATGATTCTTCATGATTAGATTTACATCATGCTCTCTCAACCAGAACACTATATAGTCACATGATAACTATCTGTCCTTCACTGGTGATGCTAATTTTCTATATGTCTAAGTGTACATTAAAAAAAATAAAAAACAGATTGCAATGCTGATTTGTATGGATTTAGTTAATGACATAGTAACTGCAGCCTACGAAAAATCAAGGGAGAACTGTATCTGTAAGGCTTCATATACATGCAGTATTTATTTTTAACCTATGAGACAAAGTAGATGGGGGCTTAGAGATGTAATACATATTGAGGCAGTTACCAGAAAAAAAGACAAACAATTAAAAACTAAAATGTCAAACTCAGAAAAGCCTCTTCGCTCAGGCATCCTTCCACTGGGACATGACTTGAAACAGAAAAGTACAATCAGAAATGGTACTCTGGGATTTTCTGTCCTTTGCTTTACACTTTTTTTCTTTTGTAGTAATCACAATAGCAAAGTTTATTTGGAAAGGAATCTAGGGTAAAAGTGGGGAGAAATGAGGAAAAAAAGGAAGAAACAATTCCTGTTCTCCATGTAGGAAATGGGATGCTTCACATTTTTACTTATTTATTTATTTTAGCCGTAATGGGGTTTGAACTTGGTCTCATACTTGGTAGGTAGGCACTCTACCACTTGAGCCAATCTGCCAGCCCTGCTTCATATTTTTATACCATAAGACATTCAAATTAGCAAAAAATAAAATTTAACAAAAATAAATTTAAGACAATATAGTTAAAGAGGAAAAAAAAAATACTGAGAACTGTCAATTCTTACCATGCACCTAATAAGCTTATAGTATTTATTACAATGTTATAAATACAATTACTCTTTCTGTATAGCTATTCCTCTCATTCTTTACACTAGTATGAACACTGTAATATACAGAAATACTGTGACTATCATTACTTCTGAAAAAAACTCAGGTCAGTAGTCCTATAGTATCTGTATCTAAGATAACCAGCTACATTGTCAGAGAAAATTGTGGGTCACAAGCAGCTTTTGTTTAGCCTGCAGCCAACATGCCACAATGCTCTGCTAAGTTTATATACTTACGTTGTTACAAGCCAAAATTCAGTGAGATTAATTTCAAAATGAAGCTTCATCATGTCTATTGAGACCTTATAGCATGATACAGATAAGGAATGTGACACAGCAAAACTTGGGCAGCTATTGTACAACTGATGACTCAGTAATCAGACCAGCTTGTCATGGACTTAACTGCTATGTGCTGAGTTCTAACAATGTTAATTATCTAATAGTCCATTAAAATGAAAGATCGACGTTGTCCTAAAAATCCTTTCTGCCTATAAGCTAAAAAGATAAGTAAAACCAGTAGGCTGTAGAGCCAGTTAAGCTAGTTGTTCCAATGCTACTGAAGTTAAGACATTTAATTTTCAAGACTTTCTAAATATTCATTAATTGCCTGAACTTGTAACTTTTTATCCATGACTTTACTATGAATAACAAAATTTCTCTGTAATTTCCACCAAACCCAAAAGGAACAAGAATAAAACGATTAAGCTGCTTTGGTAAAATGGCATGTAATTTTCTTCATGCACATACCATCTTTATAAACAATATAAAATAAAATTTAAAGCTATAAATCTAATTTTACTACTTTTCCAAGGATAAAGCATTGGAAAATTCACCTCCATAAACTAACATTTGTACTTGATAAGCCCTTTCTTTTCAAAAGCAAATCAAGAATTTCTAGGTTATCTAATCTCATCATTTGAAACTTTTTGGTACCAAGTTTCCTAACAGAAACTTGTTATAAAAATTGAAAGCCTCTAAGAATATTGGACTACTGGAGTAGAAATTCATTATTTTAGACTATTTGTTTTTCTAAGTATAAGAAACATTATTCAGGTATGTGGAAATTTGAAGTTGCTGCAATAAATAATGGATTCTTGGTTGGTACTTAACTTAAATGCTAAATGAGATACTGCCCCTGTTCTCACAATTAGATAAATAGAGATTATGAGGTAAAATGTGGTATGCCATGTGAAAAAAAATAATACATATAGTTTTAGAGAAGGCACCCTGAGTCTAATTTAAAATTATTAGAAAAGGCAAGAAGGACTAGGAGTCATGGAATTAGTATAATAAGCAAATAGAAAGGAGAGGGGCTATTCCAAGACTAGCAGGTTGTGGCAAAACTGCCTCTATCTTACAGTTTTTGACAGACGTCTTTTGCAAAATACTTTTTGCCCCTGAGCCTCTTATGCTACCTTCTTATTTTACATCTTGCTATGTTGGTCATTCTTTCTCAGTGTCCTCTGTACTCCACCTTTAAGTATTAGTATTCAGAGCTCTGTCCCAGCCCTTTCTCTCTTCTAACTTAAGTGATCTCTTGGCTTTACCTTGAGGTTCTCTTCATAGGCTCAATTTATAGCTGTTACTTAGATAATTTTATAGCCTCGACTTCAAATCCCTGAATTTCAACTACTTCCATCATTTTAACACTTACTGCATCTCCGTGGTACCCAGTGGTGTGTGGTTCCAAGGAGACGGCCACTGAGGGAAATCGTGAGTTCTCAGGATGCAGAGAGCTCAGTGCTGCACTGTGAATGCCTGATTCATTTTTCCCATAAAATTTCTATTAATTTTATTTTTTTTGACTACGCTTGGTCAAACTCACATGCAATAAATCCATGAATAAGGTGGTCTTATTGGATACATTTTTTTTTTCAACTCTATTCTATTTGACTTGACATCTTCACTTGGGTGTTTGAATGTCGTCTTAAATTTAACAACTCATTTGTTTTCTAGTATTTTGTATCTCAACAAATGGTCCTCTAAGCCAGAGCACTGCTCCTAACATCTTTAACACCTCATTTTCATAATCTCCAAATACCATCCCAGAGAGGACTTGGTTGTCTTAAAGCACAAAAAAATACTTAACACCTGTTAAATTCTCTTGAGAAAACACTGCTAACTTTAGGGAACTGACCTTCTCTGCCCATCACTCAGGTGATTACAGTAGGAAGAACACAGAAGAGAGCCTATTTGTTGGGTTCTAGACACTTAACATGAGCAGTATCAATTACAGCAGACCAGTTTCCTGACCACAGTGATTACTTTAGAGCCAAGCATCTAACGCAAGCTAGGCCAGAGTTCCTTCTCCAGGGCTTAGGGACTTGGAAAAAAGCGAGTTCACCCAATTTCTTTGAGTTTGCAAACTACAAACTGTCATATACAAGAGTGGCAGGCAGCCATGTTTCCTGCTGTGCATACCAGAGTAGATGAGAAAGCTGGTATGTAGAATAAAAAACAAGGATGAAAGAACACTAAAGCCAAGACATACCGAAAGGCAAAAGTGAGGAAAAAAATGCATAATCCATGTCTAATTCTAGTTAATTCTGAGGCCCAGGTACTGAATCACTCTAGTTGCCTATAATAACTCTTGGCTTAAAAGAGTCTGTGTTGTTTTTCTCACTAGCAACCAAGAATTACCAATGACAGAAACCAAATACAGAAAGAGGTAAAAAACTTTTAACCTGACCCACTTGATCTAGCAACCTAGGTCTCTGTCTCAAATTCTCTCATCATGATCCAGCCAAAGTGAGTACCTCTGGCTGCTCACATACACAAAGCTCTTTCTATTTCAGGGCCGCTATTCCCTTCCCATTCCACTCAACTCACCATGAAATCTTTCAAGTAACAGTATGCACCGTACCGACTTCATCTTCAGAGTATCAGTATGGGATTCCAGTCCTGTCAAATTTTAATAACTAGCCACCCCAAATTAATCTCACATACATACACAAATACGGAAATTCTTACTTTTAACAAATTCTCATGAATTTCTTACCTCAAATGCCCATTCTTTTTCTTCTTCCCCATCCAGGAACAAGCGTGTTTCTTTATAAACTTGGCCTATATCCAAGTTTAATGGAGATATATCAAATTCAAGCCGCTGTAATTCAAATCCCAGTCCAACACCAATGGCTTTTATGAAGCTCTCTTTTAGTGCCTAAGATACAGACAGACATTTTGCTCTTAGAGTATTCAACAGATAAACTTTTCCTAAAATCTATGGCCCAACACACCTGGATTTATAATATACAAAGCTCCTTTGGCTTTGTTTTGATTTTTGTCCTTACACTAAAATACAAACAAATCATGTGAACTTAAGGCAAATCCTCTAAGCTGTGCCTCCATTCTCATGTGTAAACTGTGATGGTAAAACAGTACCTTCTTCACAGTGTTGAGAATTAAGTCAACCAACTTATGAAGAACTTGAGTAATGTCTTTTGGTATGTAGTAAGTATTTATTAAATAAGGCCCATGTGACGAGTTTCTTTAACACAGAATACATTATTATAAGTATGATAAATGTATTTCCTAATTAAGCATAAAATATGTCATATTTTCTGAAGACAAAAGTTATTAAAATATAATGCTGTATGCATCAAAATCAAAGTTTTCAAGAAATCGCCCATTTACTTCAAGCACTATATGGAACTACTAGGTAACCAAAGGACTTTTACTCCTTTAGTGAAGATAATGGAATCATTAGACTTTTAGTTTCAAAATTAGAAATTTGTACCCAATTCCTATAAAACATGTCCAGCTGAGTCCATTCATCATTAAAGCTTCTGATCGTTTCCCATTCTTTGTTGGTAAACTTTCTTTTCATAATATGAAAGAATTCTGGAATTGAGCCACGGCCTGTCAAGAAAATACAGAATTAAAAACAGCTATTCTATTAGAGAGGGGAAAACTGTTGAAGACAGCACCAAAAAAACCAAAAAAGAACCCAAAATAAACAAAAAACTATAGCCTAACCTATATTATACAATAATCCCAAACAAAGTATCAGCAAATAAAAGTTGAGCTGGGAAGCAAGAACAATACACTATAAAGCTTATCTACCCAACTCTCATTTCTAAAATACCCAACTCCAAATGTGCCATTACGAACTGGTTTTTAAAGTGATAGTTATTACCTCATTTTCTATAGGCATTTATTACAGGCAGTGATAGGTCTGGAAAAAAAAGATGTATGATCCCCTGTTAAAGCATCACTGGCATGAAAACACCAATTCACCCCATGGAATTCAACAATTAGAATTTCATTATGATCATTTATTAAAACCATTCAAGTGCCAGCTTGCCAAAATATCATGAGCCACACTAACTTCACAGAGAGTTTGCAATGTCCCTATAGTAAACAAATATCTTTCCCACTGTTAAACCAAGAATAAAAAACCCATTAAAAACAAGTTATCTCACAAAATTGCTTACAATTCCTCTACTACTCCCAATTCAAAAGTAAAAACAGTCTTTAGTTTCTTCTTGCTTAGGCAGAATATATTTCTGATGTTCCTAAAATGATTTGTGGTACTCTGGATCACAACAAAGATTTGCATTCATTTTTAAGCCTTGAATATTAAATTGTGATCTTAAGAGTCCTATTATCAAGGGATTCTTACCCTTTTAGGGCTATAGAAGGATCCCTAGAATAGTCTTGTTGCTTATTTTTCAGCACTTTACTGAAAATAACTAGAAACCCCTCAAAAAAACTGGTTTGTTAAATGCATCGTAAGTATACTCTGGCTTGATTAAGGTGACTAAAGTAAATCTGATTTAACGCGTATGAACGATAAACTGCTTACTCGGGTACACTCTGGCATCAACAGCAAAAGGTAACAACAGGAGGAGCAGCTTAACTCGGATTTGGAAGACAACACTATGTATGTTGAGAGCAACTGTAGTTTTAATGGCATAATGTCTAAAACTCCTCAATTAAAAAAAAAGTGCCTGTTGCCATCTACAGTGTCATTTTGTTTGTTGGTTTCTTCACCTGTTCATTTTATAACCTCTAAGAAGTCCTTTGATTTTTAAGTAAATATGATAAGGCAATCAAGGGAAAATTTAAATATGCATGCTTATAAAAATCTGATTAACATAAAAGGTAATCTAGCACAATCACTAGAAAGCAATCACACAACTCATTACTTATGGTTAAAAAGCATCCAATATGAGAGCATCTTCATATACTTTTGCATCTCATCTAATCCACCATATAAGAAATTCGACACCAACAGGAAAGGGTGATTTTGTCAATATTCAGCAATAGCACAACAGCACCACACTGTGGCATTACAGGGGAAGTACATGGTGGGTGAATAATTTACTAAGAACATAGCTTGCTTAGAAATTAGAAGAGAAAACATAAATAGAAATCTACACTTAAGCCTTTTGACTGGAGCAACTTTTTCCATTTCATATTATTTATTTTTATGATATGATACTAAATGAGGACTAGACCAGGAAAATGAGAAGTTAGTAAGGAAACTAAAGAAGTAAAAATAAGTGTTCAAGTGTCCTACCTACCCTGAATATTACAATAACTGAGTTTTCTTGCAAGCCCATTCTAGAACACCTGCTGCCTTTCAACACTTTTAAGAACATTTCAAAACTTACTAAGGGAATAGTTATGTTGTTAACATTAACTCTGCTACCTACTTTCAAAATAATTTAAAGGTAATAGTAAAATGTCAATGAATTAGGAAGGAAGGAAGATAGGAAAGGAGGCAGGGAGGGAAAGAAAGACGGACATCTAGGAATACCTGTAAAAAAATAAATTTGTCCCTCAAATTATCAGCACGAGTACTGGGAACATAAGTTAATACTATCACAAATTCACATCTGTCACAGTGTTCTATTCAATTGTCCCATTGAAAATTTAAGAACTTAGTAAGTAGATTTATACATAAGATAAATGATTAGAGAACTGGTAAAGTTTAGAAAAAACTTAGAAAAGGTGATTCTTCACCTTAAAGCTTAATCTTTAAAGTAGGCAGTATTAGATATTAACTAAGCGCTCTGTGACAATCAAATTATTAAGGTCACAAAGGAACTAAAAAGTTTACTGTAAACATAGTAATAATCTAAACAAACTCATTCAGAGCTAATACCCTTAGCTACTTCCGCAGGCCTATGAAAAATAATCCTACCAGTACCAGAACCATGTCACCAGTATGTATATGTAAGACCATCTCAGTTAAAGTTCAACATTCTTCTTAAAGACAATGGGATAGTTATATGGGGGCTGAGGGTTGCTGAGAGGGAGTTGAGCAATGTCCATCTGTGTGCTCACTTCAACTATCAAAATTTTGTTTCAGATAATAAATATCAGAAATTTTAACTGTTTCAGTTTTAAGGTACTATCTATCTATATAGATACATACAAGATTATATATACTCATGCTTTTGTGAGAAGTGAATCTTCTAATATGCACACAATAATGCTGCACTTATTAGTTCAGGAATATATCAAGATATAAAATGAAAATATGTAAGCAATCGCAAACAACATGTACAAAGCTTCTTGATGTTACTGACAAGATTTCTCCAAGCCTTCAATATATGGAGGACAGCAGAAAAAGCAGTAGACTGAAATATGACCACGGAGGCTTAAGACATAATTAGGCAGTTTGGAACTTCAGCCGCTCTTCTGTGTGTTGATATATGTACATTTAAGTACATATATCAACACATACAGGTGTTGACACGCACAGGCAAGAAACAGGAAAGGTATACCTTAACAAAGGACTCCTGAGAGCAAGGAAGAGGACTGAGGCCCAAAAGATGGAACCACTGAAAATTTTGGACCTTGAAACCTAATAGACTATTTCTTGCTAGGATTCAAACATGCTTGGGAACTATGATTCTTTTATTTTCCTTCCAATTTCTTCCTTTTGAAATGAGAATTTATAGCCCCAGCCTCTCCTACTATTGTTTTTTTTTAGAAGACGACTTGTTTTCTAGTTTCTTAGGTCTACAGATGGAGAAGCATTCGGTCCCACGATGGACCATGCCTGATATGCATGGCTCAGATGATGAGATCTGCAACTTTCTGAGCTGATTACATTTAGACCAGATTTTAGCTTGAGAATTAATGCAGGTGTGGGTTAAGACTTAGGGATGCCAGGAAATTACTTTGTGTGTGGGTGGATGCAATTTTGGTTTTTGGCAGGTAGGGCTACAGCCGAACTGCACTAGATTGAAGAGTATCTCTCAAAATCATGTCCATCCAGAACAGTAGAATTTGAAGTTACTTGTAAAGTTTCTACAGATGTAATCAAGGTAAGAGAAGGACATACCTGAATACAATAACTGATAACCTTATAAAAAGAAAAACTAAAACACAGGAAGACCACATGAAGGTGAGGGGAAAATTGAGATAAAGCAGCTGCAAGCCAAGGATTCAAAGGGAAGCAGCAAAACCTTGGACGATAGCCATGACTATTTTCTGGAACCTAAGGGGGAACATAGCCCTTTGACATGCTGACTGGTTTTCAGACTTCCACAACTATCAGAGAATAAATTTAAAAATATTTTAAGACACTGTTTGTGGTACTTTCTTATGCAGCACTAACACATACACAGATACAATTTTAAGTATACAGCTTTAGTGTGAAATGTTCAAATACCGGCTTTATCACTTGTCAATGATGACTTTCCAGGGGAGATTTGGGTAGATTAAGGAATAAAGTACTTAATAAACACAGCTTTAAGGTTGTTGTGCAGTAGTTACTGTCAAATGCATACCCTCCTCTTTTATCAACTGCTTATCAAGTCGTGTGTGTTTTCTCATCAACACAAAAAAACATGTAAAACATCAACAGCATCAATCTTTCTGCATCATATTTTTCACTAATACATCCCATGGTTTCTCCATCATATTTTTCACTAATACATCCCATGGTTTGTGAAAGAGGATTTAATATGAAATCACATTCTTTGTTGACTTTGCTTCTTTTTAGTCTTCTAAGAGTGAAAAAGTCATCCATTCTTCAGACATTAGACCAAATACATAATTCTTTTGTGTTCTAGTAATGCTTATCAAAACTTCATTCCAATTAATTTTACTGTATAGTTGAGGCACTGGTCTAATGTATTTCTGATTATTTCACTCATTAAAAAAAAGTGAATACATAAATACATACATGATCTTCTACACATACATACAT